AAGTTAGATTAAGTTAGATTTCCTTTCGTGCTGCACATGTACTACCGCCATTTTTTTTATTATTTTAATTTTATACCGAGTACTTTTCATTCGAGCGGTTCACTGTTTACCTATAATGTACGTTATATTTATATATATATATATAATATCATTCAATTATCGATTGTATTTATATACAATACATAATATAATGTTATTAATATTTCTGTTTGTCGTCACCGCCGTCAATAATAACGAAAATTAAAAATTAAAAAAAAAAAAAATACAGAATTATTTGAAACAACTTTCAAGTACATATCATTTATTATTATTATTATGATCATATTACGTATTACTAGGTATATATTTGACTCGTATAATACTGCACGGGTCACCGCTTAAAATATTATGATATTTATATAAACCGAACCGTTGACCAATATTTCATACACAAAATCCTTTAAAAACAGTTTATATACGCGACCGGCGAACCTAACTACATAATGTTTTTAATTAAATTTTCAGTAAAACTTATAATACAGGTACTAATTAAAAATAATATTCGTTCTGATAAAAACACGTATATACACGTGCGAGTATAACGATACCGATCGAGGTGGAAATGTCCCGCATAATTAAAATTAATACACTTGCGCGTAGGTATATAATACGGCCATTAAATCGTATATTTTCCGAATATACTTTTTTTTTTTTTTAAATTAAAATAATCCAAGTACGCCTAATCTATATTGTACGCAGTAGACCAAGAAAAGTGGCCGACTTTCACGTAGAGTGTGCGAAAAGTGTTTTCCGCACAGCTTTTTTTACAATGAGTATGCTTCATCTTCTTATAATACCGGCATACAAAAACGGTTTCTAGGGCCATCCCGTCATACATCCAAATCTTCAGACGTATCTGCTTAGTGTAATCAGGCGGATTATCGAGTCCATCAGTGGTTAAAGTGGGAAAACTTCAAAGGGGGACTATATTTACCGAAAATAAAGAGGTAACCAACTAGCTAACCTAACTAAACTTTGAGGAAACCCGTTTTGGAAATAAGACTTCCAAAATGTTTTTCTCCTACGCTGAGTCACACACATTATTTGTACGTAAAAATGTTGTACTAAAAGAGTTTAAAAATAGATGTCATCTTTCCCCCTCGAATAGTATCCTACACATATGCCTGCTCAGTAAAATAAAATAAATACAGTTTTATAACCCATGTATAATCTATAATAGGTATTAAAGAATTTATTTTAATTTTTTTTAAATTTCATTGTTAAATAAAATTTTCTTTGTGACTAGTGCGTTCCCCCATTGGACTCGGATCTCTACACCAATCATCATAACTACTAAACTACTCATTACACCATTACTCTAACCATCATATTATATGCATCAATAGACTTGGGCCGGGTACATACCCGGATATATACACGGAGGGGCATATTATGAGGGCTAGACCACCTCATTGCTTTGTGTTTTAAACATAATGAACTCAATTCGGTGATTTTATTTTAAAACAAATTTTCCGACAGGGAAATTTGTAGCCACAGAAGTCATATGTATGCCACTGATAATGTAGGTCGTATCGATGTAAACTCATTTAGTTGATCATTAACAGCTTCGATAGTCCGAAGAAATATGTTTTTCCAGTTTAGAATATTGCACGAAAAACCTGCCACATATTACTGTAAAATTATTATTCAATCAATCAGAATTCAATTTGTATTTTGTTAAAAAAAAAAAAAAACCAGTAATTGCAGTAGATTACTACGTATTTTTATATTTCTCTACAGCGGCAACGGTAGTGGCAGCGGCGGTGATAATGTGTGTTATATATATGCGTCGATATTCATTGGCTTTTTATTCGTTAAATATTGAAATTCGTACGAGACGAAAAAAAAAATCACGTTTTATATCACCGTATCGGCTGTATTATTATTATTTTACACCCGCGTGGTAATCACGCCCGATAGGTTTTGCAAATAAATTTGTTCACAATTTGTCATCCGGAAAATTCGCGTGCCTGCATATAAATTGTACCAGAACACAGTTTTTAGCGTCGAATTAATTTCGTTTCAGAAATATATTCTATTCTAATGCGCGTGTGTGTTTATTTATTATTCCAATGTAAAAGAGGGGAAAAAAAATAATAATCGACAAGTTATATAAAACACGATATTTTATACTCAAAACCGGGCGCGTTTAGTCGCGAAAAAACTTCGAATACTCCAGATTTTAAACTTATATCGGATTTCGATAACACGTCCGCTGCAGATCCGCGTTCTAAATACCTATTTGTCCACCTTCCCCCTCTCCGAATAACGAAAATCCTACTCGAATTTATAAACATGTAGCGTACAGCCCGCTAATATGAAACGTTTTATACATAGTCGGATTTTTATTTTTTTTTTTTTTTTTTTTTTTTTTTTCCCCAGTTGTTTTCGAAAAAACTTACCGAAATCCGTATTCGTGCACGTCATCGTCACGCAAGACCGGCACTGTTGTGCGTGTCACAACACGGGATCCCGTAATTTTTCCGGAAAACAATCATCCAGAACGTTCGAAATCCGGAATGTGAAACGAACATCAGAAAAAAAAATACCCGGAAAGTAGTTTTCCGTTAAGTGATATCGATTTATCGAAAATTTCACGAGAGATGTGAAAACGTTCTGGCCTTGTGATCCACCCGACGACGTGGTTTCGCGTTATAAACCGAGGGTTATTTTCTAGTACGTCCCGACACGAGCTCACAAAGCGAAAAAATCTCGGAATATTTGAGG